AATTCATAAAACAATAACAGAAAACGATTGTAAAACCTGAGAAACAGGAGTATCTAGCTTCGTTGGAAAGATTTGGAGATTAAAAACATAAGATTGGCTTCTTTATTTCAACCATGGTTAAATAGCTTCTACAAACAAAGGTTTTGTTTGTTTGTTTTGAATTTCGCGCAAAACTACACGAGGGCTACACGCTAGCCGTCCCTAATTTAGCAGTGTAAGACTAGAGGGAAAGCAGCTAGTCATCACTACCCACCGCCAACTCTTGGGCTACTCTTTTACCAACGAATAGTGGGATTGGCCGTCATATTATAACGCCCCACGGCTGAAACGGCGAGCATGTTTGGTGGGACGGGGATTCGAACCCGCGACCCGCAGATTACGTGTCGAGGTCCCTAACCACCTAGCCATGCCGGGTCCACAAGCAAAGGAAACATCATTTTTATTGTTAAATCGCAAAGCACAGCCAATAGTGTTCTTAAAGGTAAGTATAAACAGGAGTTAAAATGCTTGTCTAGTCAATAGAATTGGTGTTATCTTGCACTAACAAATAATCTAACATAGTTGTTCATAACATTGTATATATTATAACTGATAAACGGGAAAGGAAAAAAAATAATAGCTGGTCCTCTCCTGTAACTGAAGTACGTGTTCCGTTTATTTCATATTTGATGTGCATATGCTCAGGAACGACGTCTCCTACTTATATCTATGAATGAGAAAAGCGACTGAAACTTATTTTAACATCATTTGGAAAATTTCTTTGGAAATAGGAGGACGATATGTGCAAGTAAACAATTATTTACTTGCACTTATCAGTAAGTCTAGAAATTTATCTTAGCAGCCGTTTTTTAACGTTTTTCTTTGCTAAATCTGGTATCTTATCATTCTAAAAGTTTCATCAATATTTCACCATTTTAAACATCAACGGCATGCCTGCTGTTTTACAAGTTTGTTGTTGTTTAGATTTCCTTTGTATTGCTGTTATCAGTATAGTAGTTTTTAACGAACTTCGTTGATACTTTTGTAAACTTGACACTGTAGTGATGTTTTACGGTTTCCACCGTATGAATGTGATCTTTGGGCTTCATTCATCTGTTTATTATATTATCATTTAAAATTGTTATTGTTAACGGGTTTTTCAGCCATTTTCTCTATAGGTTTTATATTTTTATATTTGTTCTTCTGAGAGCCAGCGGTAAGTTTATGAGCTTAGAACGCTAAAATCCAGGGTTCGATTCCTGCAGTGGATAGAGTAGATAACCTCATGTGGCTTTTTTTCTGAAACAAACATTACATTACCTAGCTACAAGAGAAAAAAAATATTATAATCCCAGTCTGATGGAAGTGATTAAGCATTATTCACCGAAACTATGGAAATTTCCATAATAATAAGGTATCCCAAAGAACGGTAATGCCAGACTTAAACCAAAAGTTTGATAAATTCTCCGATGTAAATGGAGTTGGCTTCAAAGTCTACGTTTTAATCGACCGAAGGCACAAACAAAAATCCTTTATAGTTGTATTGGAGAACTTAACAGAACTGATGTAATCCCAACTCTTTTTGTCCATCTTTCTCATAAGAACAGTTGTTTATTTAAAGGGCTGACTAGAAGCTTACGAACATTTTGCTTGTGATCTTTCGCCAACTTAAAACCCTTGTTTGCTATCTTGTCGACAATACTGGAATATATTATGAGGCTTATCACAGTGGGTTTTTTGGGTAAGAAAATTTCCTTTAGTAACTAGAACCTTAATCTTGCACTCCTGACTCACTGGAGTGTGTGTGTGTGTGTCGAATCATATTGCTTTCTTAAACTCTTAAAATCGGGCTTCGATACCCGTGGTGGGCAGAGCATAGGTAGCCCATTGTGTAGCTTTCTGCTTTGCAACAAACAAACATCTTTTGCAAATTTCGACATCCTTCCTCGAAAAGAGCCGTGAAAAAATCTCCATCCACATTTAACCCTGGTGGCATTGCATCGTCGAATGGCTGGGAACTGATCAGAAACCAAATATATAGGGATTCTAAGCATGTTGTTTCTGATGTCACGGTTCGCCTCTGTGATGCCCTATTGTGGTTATTATGAAACTCTGATATACAATATTGTGGTTGAATTTCTATAAGAGAAGTTATATTCGAAATTATTTAGAGTAGCTTATAGTGCTGTTGCGTTTGTAGTATGCTTGTGATCATACTTTTGCTGCTTTGCTTTAATATAATTTTATCAGGTTATATATACCAATTTTTCTACCTTCACTATATTCTGTACTCTAATCGAATAGTGAGATTGACCATCACATTATAACGACCCCACGGCTGAAAGAGCGAGAATATTCGATGTCGGGTTTCGATCCTGATGCCCGAGCATTGCGAGTCGAACCCTCTAACAACAGGTCATGCCAGGCCCCTGGGAGGAGAGTAATTTTTAAACTGATTAACATAGAAACAAGTTCCAGAAAAATTAGAAATTTGGATAACCGGAGTTATACTGTTAATCCTGAAGTAAAAAATCCTTAAAGTTCTCACACCTGGTACGAAACAGAAATAATGTTGCTAAAATGTAAACTTTTAAGTAAGAAATGGAGAAACAATGGCTAGCCAGTACTTAAGTTTGTTCTTTTTTAATTAATTTAGCTCCTTTATATTTCTGATCCAAAAATTTTCATAGAATGCGATCATGAGTGGATTTTATGAGATAGAAAGACTATGTTTATCCGCAAGTTTTTCGATTTTGTCTTTTTTCGAGATCTTATAGGTTTTATTTGTTTAGCAAAGCAGTCGTACGTCGGTCTGCCTATGTCTCCGATATAGGTAGCTCCATATATAGTACAAGTAATTTGGTAGACAATATTATTTATATTATAGGAGTCCTCGAGTCCATACTTTTTCGTAAAGCTTTTTTTTGTTTTTGTGCAAGGATTATCTTGTACAAATACTGACCTCACTAGTATTCTAAGTGTTTTTTTTTCCATGTTTTAGAATTACTTTCATTTGTTTGATTGATTATTTACAATGACGAATAGTTGCTCGGCGATGGTTTGTAAAATAATCTGAAATTTAAGGGATTTGCCAAGTAAATGTCACTTTACTGTTGTCATGATATTTGTATGGTGTTCATTCAAGTGTAGGTTTGAGCCATTATCCGTGCGAGAAATCCTCTCAAAAGTACTGGTAAAAGTTAATGTTTGATGATAAAGCGATCAATGAAGAAACATTAGTGTTAGCTATTGTTAAAAGAATAGCCATATTAATATGTATAGGTGAATGTAATTCTGAGTGTTCGTGTGTTGAAATGTATAAAAACCTGACTTGCGTAGAAGGCTGTCAGTATCTGATGAAACGTTAGCGCCAAAGTGTGGAGGAGTTGTTTGTATCAGAAAGATCAAATGCATGAGAATTTGTATATTTAATAATACAAAGGAATAAAGAAATGTTTACTTCAGTATTTGAAGATCTATTGCTATTCTTTAAAATAAATCTACTTTATTCAATGGTTATCTTGAAAAATCTGTAGTAGGTTATGAAAGAATGTCAGTTCGTGTGGTTATTTAATATCGCACAATTGTTTCAATGAAGAATGTTGGATAGCCATTTATTCGAACAATATGTGTAGATTTTGGATGGTAAGGGTTCTAATGTCATATTCATTAGAAATGTTACGGATTTTACTAAATACCTCTAATATTATAACTCTTAGTTTCTTAAAATATAGTGGAGGATGAGAATTATAATGTAATATTACTGTTCTTTTAATGGTTTCTTGTATTATTGTGGTAAACGAAATAATTATTTGATCTAAG